CATGTTCAGAACTTCTTGAAACTGTCTGTCAAGGAGAAAGGAAGGAAGCCAATTCTCAACAACAGAGATAGCAAAGGTTACTTCCTAATGCAATTATTTAAAATCACTTAACAGAGAGTGACTAGTTATATAGATGTGGTGCCATAGGATGTATCAAGCTATATATAATTCATCAATGGACTAAAGCAGCTTTTCCCAGCTTAGGGCACCTAGAGTTTTGGATTTCTAATTCCCACCATCCCAATCCAGGCTGCAGATGGTAGGAGTTGAATTCAAATACACCTGAAAAGCCCCAGTTTAAAGAGAGTTGATTTAAACCCTGCTTGAAAAGCCATAAATTCAACTTTTGTCACTTAATCAATGATGCAGAGCCTGGCAGAACACAAATGGATCGCTGTGGCTGTTGTGCTACAGAGAATGTTTGTGCAACTTTTGAACCTGGAGAGGCCGGGGGTGGGGGGTGGGGGGAGGAAGATTTGCAGGACATTTGCAAAAGCTGCCTCTTTTCCCTACAGTAGTGCCAAACATACTAAGTTTAATTCGAGAACATAAGTCCCTTTTTTGCAGTGGTCAGTTTGTTTTTGAAAGGAGCTGGTGTGCTATCATACCTTTGTCACAGCTAATCCATGCCCACCCACTTCCATAATTGGTGGCTCTCCTCATTGTTTAGAATTTTATACTAATAATATAAGGAGGAAATAACAATAGCACTTAGACTTATATACCACTTTACAGTGCTTTCCAGCCCTCTCTAAGCGGTTTGCAGAGTCAGCCTATTGCCCCCAACAATCTGGGTCCTCCTTTTACTCACCTCAGAAGGATGGAAGGCTGAGTCAACCTTGAGCCTGGTGAGATTTGAACTGCCGAACTGCTGGCAGCCGGCAGTCAGCAGAAGTATCCTGCAGTACTCCATTCTAATCACTGTGCCACCGTGGCTCATATAACTTCATATAAATATAACTTTCAGGCTGAACAATTAATATACAATCAATTTCTTTCTTGAAGTTTATTCCCAGAGGAATTGTCAGGAGAGGAGGAACAAGCTTGTTAAATGTTAAGTTCATAGTGCACCATCATGTATCCGAATGCCATTCTCCTTAGCTGTGAATCCTTTTCCAGAAACTCCTTTGTGGCTAGCAGGTAACAACGGGGAGCATGTGGCAAATAGTGCTGCCCTAAGAATTGCACTCCAACTAATTTATTAGATTGTTATTTTTGAATGATACTCATGATGATCTACCCTTTCTGCATAAGCAAAATCACTCCATATTGAAGCATCACTTTTGAATATCCTAGTTCTCTTGACTGAGTCTTTGAAACCAGTTCCAAATGCCCGATTTCCATGCAGGGAAGGCGTATTCCTAAAAATGGAACATTTGGTTTAACCAGCTGTGTGGGAAGAGGAGGGAGGAATCCTCCAGCAGTATAATTAAGCGTATTTTTCTTGGAAGTATCTGCTAATATGTAGCACCCTCTGCTGACCCTTTATGGAATATTTCCAAGATAAAGAAATTAATTGGCAGTCCCTGTCAGAAGGCAGAGGCAATACTTTGAATTCTGTATTTAGAAGAGTTTCTTTTATATGTATGCCAATTTGACTTAGACATTCTCATGTTTATCTCAAACCTATCATTCCACTAAGTTTCTTCTTGTTGCCAATCAAGTCTCCTTGTCTAATCACTTATTCATTGATTTAAAAAAAGCATGTCTGTGCATTAAAAATAATTTATAGCATTCTGTCAACAAAAGTCTTCTTAAATCATTATTCATCCATGAAGCTACCCAGAAGCATACCATATACTAGTTCGCAAGTGAGCAGTATCTCCGGAACATGTCAGTTCATCAAAATTTAATATTTTGAGCAAAATATTGAATAAAATTAGAGCTTCCAAATTTGTTTCAAAAGAATTTTAAAACAAATGAAGATATTAATAAATATGACAATAATAGCAAGGCTTACTTTTAATTTTTTATAAAACTGGAAAATAAAGATGGTTATAAATGTAGTTCAGTTTCATCTTTGGCCACTGCAAAACTGATCCTTATAGCACATTTGATAGTAGCCAGCATCTCTACTGAAAAAAAGTTGATGGAGGAAAGAATGTTACCTTCAAAGATATTCATTTTCCCTACTATTTGGTAGAAAACCTTCACATTAACGTGGATCCATTGTTCCAATTCCTATCTTTTGGAAGAGCAGGAAACTAATTTGGTCATCCTTTCTTTGACGCCTTTCAAAGATAGATATAATTATTTCTTCTCTGGGCCAACTATATCCAACCTCCTCCCAGCTTTAGTCTCCAAGTTACTCCTGATCTCTTCCCTGTTTCTAGAAGTGGAGAAATACCTTCTTGCCACAACAGAAGACAAATTGTGATTGTTTTTTGCTCTCTATAGTGAAAAAGAAAAGTGCCGAGTTTGTTACTTCTGAATAAATAAATCACTGTAAAGTTCTATTTCTTTCTAATGAGTGAAAGTCTGTATATTTGTGGGTGTAGTAAGTTTTTTCTCCTGCACATTCAGAAATAGGGATTTTTTAAAAATAAACCACTATAATTTTGGCCTGCACAAATGATCATCCATCAGGCCAAATGCAAAATGCTGGCTATTCGCTGCCTAGAGTCACCTTGCAGCAACATTGGGTGGTAAACAAATTTAATAAATAAAATAAATAAATATGAACAATGTATAGGCTGTGACAAATATTCAAAAATATTGTTTATTTCATGTCTCCAACTAGTGACAAAGGAGATTTTTCTTTACCGGACTTTATTTCTCTTAAGTAGGGAAGAGCAGATTCATTATGAAGAGGAATAAGTAGAACTGCAAAACTAGAGTCTGCAGAAAATCCCAGAATCAATAAAATACCTTATTCATTTAACAAGTAATGAAAAAAAAAATCCTTTGCCCAAGTATTTGGACTTGGCATAACGCAATTTCCTAAATTGCCACTCAACTAGATGTCATATTAAACAGCCTCTAACTTTTGCTGATTGATACATTATGGATTTGGAATACTGCAGCTTTTTATCATGAAGTCACTCCCCTGTCTCCATTCCCAATAGTCCAATTTGTCTAAATAATCCATACATCTGAAAAATTAATTGCTTTTCTGTATTCTTCAAGAAACCCTTGTACACAAATGTTGCATTGGCAGAGAATAAACAATCTATTCATTAAATAAGATTTAATGCATTTATACATTTAGTATCAGAAGAACAGACTTTGTAGCCACCATTCTTTTTGCAAACGAACAAAACCCCGTTGTTTACCCCAGCAGTTAAGTGTGCCAATTGATCACATTGGTATATAGTTTCCCCTAAGATGCTGGAGTAGGTAGTACAAAACTGAAACACTCTTTGGAACAAGTAGCTATTGGAATAAATTGGAAATGTTGGGTGGGGGGAATCAATAAAAGTGCACCCTAGGAATAATCTCTGGACAGTTTTCCTTTTTTAGCCACCAGGTGGTACTCTTGGATTTCCAACCCTGGACTTCCTGCTATGGCAGTGCTAGGAAGAGCAGCCTTACCTATAGTAGTACAGCCGGCCTTCACCTGACCCTCCAGATGTGCAAGATTATTAGTTTCCATCCACCCCATGGGCACACACAAATAGCTTTAGAAACAAGTCTGCTGCTCCTTTGCTAAAAAGCAAATTCTTTTTCATTTGCTGAACGGGAGGCATTTTAAGTCCACGTGACACCATAAGAAGGTAAGCTTGGGTGGATACAAAAACAGCCTGTTTGTGCAAAAACCAAGGCAGCTTGAATAGGGCCATAAAAAAAAACCACAGGCATTCACACAAAGACAACTTCTTTATTAGGGTGAACCAAAAAGTCCCAAAGTGAACAGCAATTATGTAAGGTGCTCAGAGCTCTTCATCAGGCTGAATGTTGCTGCAATGACAACAAAAAGGCATGGAAATTTCATACCAAAGCTAGAAAGTTAATGTTGATCAAGATGACTTAAGCAAGATTTTAGGCTGATCTAGGTTCTGTTCTGCATTAAAAGATAATGGAACAAAGAGACACACTAAAGGCTGCTGAGCCAAAATGTGATTTGGTCTTGGTTTAGCGCAGGCATCTCCACACTTGGCAATTTTAATACCAGTGGACTTCAACTCTCAGAATTTCTCAGACAACCATGGCTTAGTGCAATTCATGAGCCCAACTCATGGCTGATTCAAAGGGTATGAAACTCACCAAGAGAACCTAATTCAGTTAAGATGTTTCCAGACTGAAGGTGCCTAACATACTTATCCAAAGAGATTGTATAGTTATCTGGTCATTTTCTCCCTAATGGATTTCTTGCAACAATGAGGAAATAATGGGAACAAGCCATATGAAATCACATACTTTAGATTTTAAGTAGTATTTATTCTTTCCCATGCTGATTCCAGCAAATGTCATCTGAAAATATTGTAAAGGCAGGTTACTACATTATGCTAATCCATGAATTAGTTTTGTACAAACCCATCCATTCTGGTTTGTAAACTGCGGTCTATGATTTAGCATATTTGAATCTAACTATTATGGTTTATTGCATGCACCATGGTTCAAACTGTAGCTTAGTGTGATGTGATCAGTTGTACTTGTTTTAAGATGCCCTCTTAACCAAATCATGGGGCATTTCCCCCAGCACATATTACATTAGCATATATTCTCCTGGGAGTTGTTACCATTTTCTTTCAAAAAGAGGTGAAGAGGAGTGAGCAGGCCTCTCAATCCTTTGATATGTAGATATGCATATAATCATACAACCTCAGTTATCTTAGATAAAAATCCTGCAGGATCTTAGAAGCACAAATCAGAAATAGGCACCACAATTGAAATACTGCATGAATTGGCTTCAGACTTAAGAACCGGCTGGTTTTGCTTCTCCCCTTCCCCATTTCAATCCCACAGCCCAGTTGGATCCTGTCTTTTGTGCTGGATATGTGGTGTGTTAAGGGCCATGCTGTCTTTTTAGTCACAGACACTCGCAAGACAACCAGTGTGAGTCAAGAAATTTATTGGACTTCTCATCCATTTGGGAAATTTACATCCAGTGAAAAGACAAATGCTTACACTTCCCTCACACCCTGCCCAAGATCACATAAAAAGCTGTGCTTTTTTGAAACAATCCTTAAATACTTTTATTAGAAACAACTGCCCCAACCAATCCCCCACCCCTTTGGTCTCTTTTAGCAGGAAGTTTTGCCGAGCAGAGAACTCTAAGCAGGGCAGGGAAATAAATAAATCCAATGTGAAGAGCAAAGATTCCTTTTCATCTACTACAACCCGGGAGAGGGAGGGAGGGTCAGATTTGAGAAGGATGGTGGAGAGGCATGAGGATTCCCTCTGTGGGCAAAAAGAAACTTATTCTTGGTGGCTACTTAATGGGCTGTGCTGATAGCTACATGGAAGCAAAATGTTAGCTGTCAGAATCGAAAGTGGAGGAGGACCAATTGCTGGCGTAAAGATGTCACTGCAGCATAATATCCTCAAGGAGAGGCTTAAACTGGGAGATCTGGACCTGGTTTTCACACGTGACAATTTCCAACGTGGATTTAACTTAATGTGGGAAATGCTGGGTGTGCTTGAAAACTTACCACATCTCAAAAAATCCATTACCACTTAACCAAAAACCTGATCCAGAGAGAGAAAAAGAGAGAGAGAGAGATTGAGCCACTAATGCTTTTCCTGTACAGCTGAAAGCTATTTTCTAGTAAGTTGCATTAGATGACGAGCAAACCAGTTTTATTTTTCTCCATGTAAACCTAGCACTTTACTAGTTCTTTTTTTAAATGCAGCTATTCATCTAGAACAATAATTTTGTCAGCAAGCATCAAACAGGGTGGAGTTGATCTCAGGCATACTCTGCAGAAACATGATCGATACATAATGCATACAATTGTCCTACAGGTAGCTTTCCACATTGCCTTGGCAAAGAAAGATCCATATTTATCAAACTAATGCAGAGAAAAAAAGGATTGCCAGAGCGAGCAAGCAATTCTTCTCTGTAAATGGCTTTGGGTCTGGTCCTTTTTCTTACACAAGCTCAAATATCAGATCCTCTGCTTTGCACCCCTCTCTTTGGGATGCCAAGAAGACAGGGGGTCAAGCTCCTGAAAAACACCTGCCCTCCTGTGCCTTCAAAAAGCAATAAAAGACTTTGGGGGGAAAACAAACAACCCATTTCCTCTCCCCGACTCTTAATCTGTCCCTCCATGAACAGAGAATTCCCCAGTTCTGTTTTCTAATTTTGTTCCTCCTGGTGATTTTTCAAGACCAGCCATAGGTGAGGTGATTAAATAATATCACTACAATAACAACTTTTTGGTGAATCAAGCTAGAGTTGGCTTCTTAAAGCAGGCTAAGGTCTCCCCCCCCTCCCGTGCCACCCTGTAGTCTTCCTCTTTCAGTGCACATTTTTTAGGTGGAGTGATTCTTTTAATTTGCATTAGTGAATGCACAAGACAAAGAGAGGGCTTTCATCACTACAGGCCAATAGTCTACTGATCCAAAGATGATTATATGATAACCTACACACCTTCCCTCTCTATTGCCTGTTCCCTCACCATAACTGATGTGCCCTTCTTCTTTTCTGTGCTTATTGCTCCCAGATTCAGGTGAACTTTCAGCTGGAAATAAGCATTTCCGTCCTTCTTCTCCCAAGGGTGAGAATCCAGGAGTGTCTCCTGTATAGCTGCTTTGGCCTCAAAAGAACAGTGCCAGGAGGCGTACAGTTCCTAAAAGGAGGTGTCTTTGGGAGAAGTCTCACAACCACACCCTCAGCCTCTCCCTGGAGCCTCCTTGCACATACAGTCACACGGCACTCCCCCACTCTGCAATGCAGAGTTGCAGAATTTCCCAGCCACCTCATTCATTCATTCATCCTGGGTTTGAGGGTCTTCATCTGGATCCCTCTCCTTTTTGCATCAAGAGGCTCTTCAACCAAAAATAGCAGCATATGGCCCCATTGCTGGGCACTCCCTTCTGTAGCCAACAGCACAAAGAAGGCGGAAACAAAAATCGAAACCTTCCTTCCACTCTTGTTCTTGGTGTAGGTGATGGGAAGCCAGAGGTCCCACCTCCTTTCCCCCACCCATTAGGGTTTTGGCAGTCCCTCCCAAGAACCAGTGGAGGCCACTGGGTTTCTCCCTGTCTCAGCTGTCTCAGCGGCAATGGAAAACATTCAGTCAGCTCTCAAACTGCACTGTGGCCAACTGGTGGAAGCTATCTGAAGCTAGGAACATTTGGCCCAGGCGGTAAAGCAGGACAGAGTACCAGTGCACACCTTCTGGCTGGGTCCAGTCACGCCCTGCCCAGTGGTGATACAGTCGCAAGGGCCCGAAAGCCCACTGAGCCAAGTGGTGGTCCCGCACCAGAGCAAAACAAGAAGCCACCACTTCATCCACCACCAGAGTCCCGTGGCTGGTGAGGGGGGCATAGGCACCGACATCCACCTGCAAGGAGACAGCCGTTATCCTGGCCGGCTGCAGCCGTCCCCCCTCAGTTACCAGCACGTATTGGCCTGGCTGGACCAGGCTGGCAAAAATAGTCTTCATGGGTGCAGTTGCGTTCTCCCCCACAAAAAGGAGGTGTGCTGCCGTGAGAGCCAAGCGGCGGGGTGGGTCCTGGGTTTCAACGACGTGGAAAGCGCTCCGTGGTGACACTGCCTTATCCAGAAATGCCAGGAACTCACTGTAGACGAGGTGACCTTGTGCATCCATGGCCTGGACCTTCTGCCCTGGCTTCAGTGCCCACAATGGAATCTTGGTCCCACTCTCTAGAGTTGTCAGGGCTCGAGCTGGGAAACAACCTCCCGTCTTTGCCGCGGCTGAATGCTCTGAACAAAAAGAGAGAAAGAGTCGCAGTGTGGTTATTAGAAAGAGGGCAACTCAAAGACAGGCATAAAAATTCATGGGAGATGGAATAGGGTGGGAGGGTCTCCGGAGATTGGATAAATAGGACTGCATAAATAAATGTCTTGCTGCTGTGGTAGAGGGGAAAGCCATTCTCCGTGGTTATCCAATTAAACAGTTTTGAAGCCATCCGCAGCAGATTTGTCAGGAAGAAATATAGACACAGAAATAACACAGACGGTGGAGAACATATAGAAATGTGGTTTTCTAGCTGTAACCTGGCCAGGAAGAAATATAGACTCTGAAATTATAGAGCCGGCTCTATACACCTTCTGGAAGCTTTAACACTGCTTCTATATAATAGCAGACAATTAATTCTCTGGGTGGATGAATTGCAAATGTTTTTTTTTAAGGGGTTGGATGGAGAATGGGAAATGGACTTCTACATCTAATTAAGGAACAATTTTATTTGTTTTTTGCAGAGAAGATAGATTGACTTTGGAGATTTGGCATATTGTATTTAATCGATCAGCAATTGATAAGCGATGGTATAAAGAAGGAAATGTGGATATTTGAACCAGGATCAATTAAGATTAATATTTGGGATGATTGGGGACTGAAGCCATGGTAAATTTTTTATGAGTTGATCATAATAACAGCTTGTTAACAGAGGGTTTTAGAATCCCAATTTTGTTTTTTTCTTATTGCTGTCTACAATTTCTTTTATTCTTCTACTTTTACATAATAAGTTTATTATTATTGGTTATACTGTTAACCATTTTGTTACTAATATAGTTCATAAATGACAGGTTAACAATTTGTAAATAGATTTAGTAGTTTAACAGTTTGAAATTATTTTAGCCTGTTATGCTAGGAATGGGAAACCAACATTGCTGTATTATACTAATCAGCATTCAACTAGGGAGGATGTTAGATTCTTTAAGACACTTAGTTTGTTTCTTTAAGACACTTTTTTTTGTTAATGTCTTTTTTGTTGTGTTTTTTTTTCTTTTGTTTTTAAAAAAATATTTTGGTGTTTTGTATTTTAATCTTTTTTCAATAAACTAAAATTTTCTATTAAAAACAGTTTTGAAGCAACGCATGAAAGTTGGGTTTGTTTCTCAATCTGGAATGACTGACACATCCAAAGTTCCACCTGGATGGCGCTGTACGAAGGATAATCAGTTAATAGTTGTGCAAAAAAGGGAAACTCCTTCTTTTACACAATTTAAGAGATGGGGTGAAATCCGTTTCAGCCATTCTAACTTCTGTGCTGCTAATGAATATAGAATTAATCTGTATTGGGTTTTTTAAAAATCAAAATCAAAATCAATTAATTGTTCCCAAACTTCCCAAAGAATTTTAGAATCTGTTCTTTGGTCATAGTACTTGAAAGCAACTTTTATTCCAACTCCTTCCAATTAGATTTTTGGGGAAAATTTCTTATGGCAGGAACAGGTTCAAAATGGAACAAGAGTGCTCTCAACAGCTGTAAGGAAGAGAGAATTTCAGCAAATACAACTTGCATGACAGAGCTTATCACTGATATTCTGAGTCCAGACCTCTTTGGCAATCTCCCTGCATCACTTCTCCAAATTCATCATTGTACAAATATACCCCAAGTATTTTTTTGCTGAAGGAAAAAAAAAAAGAGTGAAGAACCACTTCTGTGGCCCATAGAACCGAAGGACCAGATAAGGAAATCCATCCTTCACTCGAAAGGTCGACAATCTTATTGTTCTCCAAATACTTGGACAACAAAACACAATTTTACATGCCTTTGTCTCTTAAATGTCTGTATTGCTGTAGGAGGGAGAATAAGAGAAGAGCAGATGAGACAGCAAGCAATGTTATTTCCTAGCCAGCAACAGTTGCACTCCAGAGGTAGTTCTTCAAGTCCTGGAGTAAAAGAGGAACCTCCCTTTTCTCTATAAGCACTTCTTCATTTTCAGAGAAGAGATTGGAGAGATTTATGTATTGATTTCTCCTATTTACTGTATGTCACTGCACAGAAACAAATGATGGCATAAAAGAACAACATATGGCAGATACAATTCAATCGTAATTTTTCTGCATAACTTTGTTGTTCAAATTTAAACATGATTGTATTTCCTATGTGCCAAGACCAATCTGCCTTCTTTGGTCAAGTCTTGGTATATCTCCCTGGGATTCTGCACATAGCTGCTACAGGAAAAATGCTATTCTGCAACTATGTTATCTTATTTGACCATAGATGGAACAGAGAAGTATATGTAGATTTGTAATTCAGGAATCCCAATGTTCTCCAGGGGGTCATTACAGAGAGCTGCACAATAGCATAACAGTAACCATGGATGAGAAATCAAATAATAAATTGACATTCATTTGAAAGTAGATTGGTTTAAGCTTAAATTGGAAATAACTCTTCCATGTGAAAATTTTCCAAGTTTGTTCTAGAAATTCATTGTACTGGGAAAATAATTTTTGTTACCAGAACCAACCACATGTTGTGCTACGAAGAATATTAAAACAATTAAACTGTTCAGTTTTGTTTTTCAATATTTCATAGATATTTACAGAGTCCAAGCAAGATAAGAGATGGACAGACACTTTCTTGTCCCAGGCACACTATATACTGTCTAACCAGCACAGACACATAAGCCAGGTTACAGAACTGATACAGATGTTTAGCAACTGTTATCAGGCCAGATATCAGAGTACACAGTATTACCAGTCACATAATTGTGATTAAACACAAAAATCCAATTGCCATTCAGCCCGTTCCTTATCATTATATAGTTTCTCTACAACCCTTCTAAACAGCTCAGGGCTAAGGTAGCCTATCTGTACTAGATTTTCTAACCTCCATCTGCCTGAAATCCTGGATGAAGATCTCTTTTAAGATTGTCTGTTCTCAAGTGCCGGTTCTCACTACTAGCAGACACTGGATTCTCTCTTCAGTGACCAGTTCTTTACCCCTGCAAAATTCTTCTCCTCCAGTTGTCCATTATCATGAGAATGTTTCTGTCTTTGAATAATTTGTAATGTTGGAACATCCATTTAGAAATGTGAGCATCCAGAAACAGCAGAGTATCCCAACAGTGCGCACGACATTAATAAGATAAAGCAAAATTGCTGTGCTATTTTTGCCCGCAGAGCTTAGAGGAAGTATCTTAAATATATGATCTGGGGAAATCGCCTGGCAGTGATCTACCAGCAGTCCAGGATCCCAGCTAGGGCAACAGACAGGCCACGGTATCTAGTGCAACAAATCAGTTATGAATATATCCACAGCAGTTCTGCTGCTATCAAGGCTTTGGATACCAAAAATCCAAGGGGAAGAAGCTGTTGGACAAAGTTTCTTGACACTTGGCTGGCAAAGCTCCATCCAGTGGTCTACAAGGCAGCATTGTCCATCCTAACACCAGAAGGGAGGGGCTGTACTCCACTCTGCCTGGGCCAGTCTCTTTCTCCAGCGCCGTTCACTCTGGATAGGCTTGCAGTCAATTGATGGAGATTTGGCTGCTGGGCCAAGCACTGTAAGATCAAGCCCGGGCAAAGGCACTTCGTTCCCATCAGCGACAGAGCCTGTGGGTCTGGAAAGGGCCGGGACACCCGCAGGTCATGCTAATGGTCAAAGGACAGGAACAAGAGGCCACAGTCAAAGCATGGTACTCTGGCCACCAGGGGGAACCTGGTGCACATAATCCCAACAGACAACATAGGCCTTAGGACTGGGCCATGGCTCAGGGATGCCTTCTGCTGGACAGAATCTACACTTCTGGTCTTACATCTCTCTCTCACACACACACATACACACACACACACACACACACGCACGCACGCGCGCACACACAAAAACTAGCTGCTAGGTGGAGAGTAAGTGAGATAAGAGAAGTACCTTCTGTAAAACTACCTTTCCTGCAGCATTAACATAAGCACCTCAACTTAGGTGGGAGTTCTTACTCTGGCCCAGTGGAGAAGACCCTGAGGGGAAGCCATGCCAAGCAAAGGTTATCTAAATCCTCATACAAAATATACATCCTATATTGCCTTACCATAAGCAGAAATGGGATGGCATTTCTTGTTAATTACCCCCACCTCACCTATGGTATTAACTCTGGGAAAGAAAAAGTCCTTGGTCGAGAATCAAGGAATTTCTTCCCATCAGTTCCATTGGCAGCCTCAATGCCATCAGCTACGAGGACAGAGTCCTTGGAAACTACACAGCAGATGTGTGGGATCACACTGGTGTTGCTGATGCAGCAACCAAGGCAAAACATATAATAAGGCGCCATCTTTTCCTTCCACCCGAAATTCTACAGATCCTTCTATCTTTCTTATCTTTGTGTCTCCCGCTTCCTCAGAGACCCCATTATCTCCACTGTTGCATTTTATGCCGCTCTCAAAATAGCGCCTCACCTGATTTAACAGAACAGTGAATGTGAGCCTTGGATTCATAATAAACCCAGTCAAAACCAGCCTCCACAGCCAGGCGTGCGAGCATCCCATACTTGTTGCGGTCCCGGTCAGAGGTGGTAATGTCAACAGCACGGCCTTCATAGTGCAGGGACTCCTCTGAGTGGTGTCCATCTTCGTCCCAACCTTCAGTCACCCGGAGCTTCACCCCTGGCCACTGATTCATCACGGAAATGGCTAGGGAGTTTAGGCGGTCCTTACAACGCTGCGGAAGAAGAACAGCAAAAGAGGAAGCGATCAGCAGTGCAACGCTCACAGCCTGGAAAGAAGCATTATTCCATAGCCACCATCCCAGCTTGGCAACAGACAGGCCATGGTATCCGGTGCAACAACTCAGTTATGAATATATCCACAGCGGTTCTGCTGATATCAAGGCTTTGGGTACCCCAGATCCAAGGGGGAGAAGTTGTTGAAGCCAAGTGGACTCTGACACTTCCAATCACTAAGGGGAGTTTGTTTACAAAAGGTTGCTTTTAAAATCCAAACATCCTTGAATGTCTGGGGGGTAGGGAGGGAGGAAAGGTGCAATCCATCTTTTTCAGTTTTATTTCTATACTTAAAAAAAAAAACATAATGGAGTAATAATATGATCCCATGCCAACAATCTAAAGCATGGCTGGCTGGGGAATTCTGGGAGTTGAAGTCCATGTATCTTAAAGTTGCCACGGTTGGGAAACCTCGATTTAAAAGAATAATACAGTAATCAGAATATGACATTCTCATTCACAATTGAAAATAGTATAGTCTCTTCTATCAGCCTGCAGTTTTTCCATCTCATTCTATTCCCTATTTAATCTAGACCTTTACTCACATTAAATTAGTTTTTATTCAGAAATAAGTTAATATAACTTAAAATGCCGAGATCTTCATTTTGCTCAGATAAGGATTGTGTTCTGTGTTCCAGCTATAGATATCTACCACAAATCCAATTGTCTTGCTGGCAAAATGGACCCCTCCCTTCATAGAGGTTGGCAGCAGCCCAGGACCGCATCAGAATGACCGACATACGCAAGAAAAGGTTATGTCACAAAGTCCACTCTGTATAGTTGCAACTTGATGGCTGGTGTGCATATGTAATTCAGTTTTTGCCTGATACCGTGATGAACATTTTGCCACTTGTCTTCTCCCTCAAGCAGAAATTGTGACTGCTTTCAATTAGCAGTGGAAGAATCACCATTTCTGGATGGGAGTAACTTGAGAAAGTTACATTGCAGAACACCAAATCACAACCTGACTTATGCTATGTAACATTTCAAGACAAGCAGAATAGAGAAGACTATACAGATTCATTTCTAGAACTGCATACAGATTAGAGTTTAAACTGATCCACTTTAAAATAAGGTAAAACTTGATATAAAGACATTTGCGTCAATGCCTGGTAAACTGCATAAATAGGTCCATATGGGGTGTTTTTTTTTGGGGGGGGGGGTGTCAATACATTCTTCCAGGATGCTGCTTTGCTTTTACCTTCCTGGTATAGCTCATAGCCTTGGGATTGCTGTACCCAAGTATTAATTAGTCCAACACCCATCCCACTTATTTTTTTCCAATTCAGCCAAGGTCAGTTAAGTGTAGCCACTTGCTGTGGGGTAATTCTCCATTTGTGGAGGGAAGAGGGAATGGCCTTGATGGACAAAAGAGAGAGCTGCTACCAAGGCAACAGTCAGATTAAAAGGGCCTGAGCCCAGGTCAGGAAAGTAAGGTGGGTAAATGATTCAGGCCCCTTCCTAGTTCATACAAAGATAAAGCGAAGGAGAGAAAAAGCACATTCAAATTTGCAAGATTCTGTTATTATCTGTCTGTTCCAATGAAAGTAGTTTTAAGATCTCATATGGCTTTGGTTTCTCAGTCTAGCCTATTATCCGTATTTCATCTATCCATTAGCTCATTAACCTATTTAAAAATTCACCGTTAAATAATAATTTTACCAATACTTTCTATCAAAATGTGAATTTCCAAATGAACAGAATGACAGAATTTGCTGCAGCAGAAAAGGTCTGTTGCACCTGGAAGACTGACATATTTATGATTGGAATTACATTCTGGAATTGCATTCATCAGATGCCGAATATGTAAACCTAAATTAGAAGACATTGAGCACACAAATTTTGTTGGTGGGAGTGAATAGCAGAGAGGAGCAAGGCCAGGAAGACAAGAAAAAGTCTGACAGTGATAATTATACACTTGTAACATAATTATTGTGCCTAGGAACAAATCAGTATTGGTTCTAACAAAACACTAATTAATGTAGATGTTGTTAAAAAGTGTAATTCCAGTTCAAGCCAGAGAGGATAGAACAGAATTTTCTGATTAACTTCTGCTTATTTTCTACATGAGTGAATCTTCTTTTCAAACAATGCTGGCCTTAAGGATCTTGTAAATCCAAATTTCTTATGTCATATTTCTAAATATATTTTAGATTATTCCCATGTACATTTCAAAATGTATAAATCTATTTGCTGAGGGAGGCAGGGAGTTCAGGCAAGCTATTTAAGAATTAATGCACAGATATATTTGGCAGGTACAAAAATTATTGGAAAACTATGTTCCTACTGTATTTGTCCCACAAATATTCACAAATATTCCTCCAGCATCTCTAATACTTTCCTCTCATAGGGTTGTGTAAACCACTGAGTTTAAAACATTTCAATATCAAAAATTTGTCCTGAATCAAACCTGAAACTGCAGCCATGTTCTAAAAGTTTGTCTTAATCTTGGGGGGAAAAACCCTGGTTTTGTTCTAAGATTGTTTTGTTTGTTCCAAGAAGCTTCAGGTTCTATGATTGGCTTGGTATAAAACTCTCCCACCCCTCACTACACTTTCTGCCATCATAGCCAGTAAGTATCAGGGACTGGTTCCAATAGTGCTCTCACCCAAGACTGAGTGGAAGGAGAAAGCAACATTTGCTTAAGTACATACATCAAAATCTAAGGGAAAGCTGATCACACAGACCAATAACAGGCTCTAGGTTCCCAGTTCCATCCTAAAACCAGTATTAGGAAAACTATAGCAAAAAGAAAAGAAAGCATGAGAATTGAGACAACAAATGGGTGCAGATACTGTTCAGACACTCTTTGTTACTGACCACTGCTAAGGGACAACAGAAACATATTGACTGGATTTAAAAAGCAACTGCAGACTTTTGTGATGTGTCTTCTGGGCAAAATGCAGAACCATTGTCAGCTTCAAGTTGGACACCTTTTTTAAGCTAATGGCGTTAGCAAACCCAGACTGCATTTCCTTCCTTGTTGGAAATTGGAATGGTGAAAACTCGACCAAAAGAGCATAGGGAAAATGAAGGAAAGGACATAAAACACAGCTCCTTTCCTCTCCCCTTTGGTCTTATCTCTTATCAGACAGTATGGTGGGGACCTAATAACCCATCAAGTGCTGCAACAATACAATCACCATGGCCCCAATCAGGCTAGCTAGCGATAAGGGATAATCAAAGTTGTAATTTAACTATCCCAAGAGGGTCACAGTTTCTCCAAGTGTTTACAGACTCTTTTAGACCAAGACTTTGCAAATTCATGTGCCCTTGGGGGTCTGTTTTTTATTAGACTCGGGAAGCCCACTCATCATAAAGTAAAGGTAAAGAAGTCCCTGTGGATTTTACTTGGCTAGTCGTTGCTGACTATAGGGTGCGGTGCTCATCTCTGTTTCAAAGCCATTGAACCTCTGAAGACATTTCTGCGGTCATGTGGCCAGCATGACATCATGGAGTACTGTTATTTTCCCACCAAAGCGGTACCTATTTACCTACTTGCATTTGCATGCTTTCAAACTGCTGAGTTGGCAGGAGCTGAGGCTGGGATGGGAGCTCACCCTGTCTTGTGGTGCTTGGGTCTCAAACTCAGGCTGCTGGCTTCCCAACTGACAAGCCCAGCACCTTAACCGCTGAGTCACTGTGCTGCTCACACATCATAGCTACTTGAAACATAGGCGGATGCTAAGTGGTCAGTTATTCTTTGCACTTCATGAGTCACACACTGGAGATGTGAAGCAAAATATTCACCTGAGATACTAGCGCACAAATATATACCTGTACATAAAACTCTCAATCTGAGAGTTGCTGAGTTACATAATGACTTGGGCAAAGGCACGATATTTCTATTTCACATATGACTGACACCTGAGTAATTACAGATAGTCCTTGACTTATAACAGCACTGAAAAAGTGACTTATGACCATTTTCCACACTTATGGCCATTGCAGCATCCCCATGGTCACGTGATTTACATTCAGATGCTTGACAGCTGGCTCACATTTATGACGGTTGCAGTGTCCCGGAGTCATGTCATTCCCCTTTTGCAACCTTCTGGAAAGCAAACTCAATGGGGAAGTCAGGTTCACTTAATAACCGAGTTACTAATTTAACAAATGTGGCAAGAAAAGTCGTAAAATGGGGCAAAACTTAAATTTCTCATTTAGCAACATAAATTTTGGGCTCCATTGTGCTCATAAATTAAGCTCTACCTGTATAATGCCAGTTGCAGCAAAAAAGGATTTGTTGTTTCGTTACATTTTAGTACTTGATGTCATTGCTAAAAAAAAAAAAAATCACCGAGAGTCCGAATTGCTTTCCTGATATATTGCAAATAACTGAGTGATCTTCCAGTAGGTCATTTCTATACAACCCTGCTATAGGCTGAAAGAATTCCGGAAGTGTATAGCTCTTAACTTCAGCAAAATTCCGGGGCCACCAGATTTCAGGAGGACCCATCATCACAACTCATCGCAACTTTTTTACAGCTTCTTCTACATGTTTTAGTGGCTTTTTATTTGCTTTCAGAGCTACAGCGGGTTGGAGGGATTATTCTTTAAGAGTTCAGTCTTTTTCTCAAAACACTTTTGTAGCAGAAGCTCCCTTAAAACATTGTATTTATTGTTGTGGTTGTCACATGTTTTTTCCTTGGGTGCCATGAAGTCTGGGTGTAGACCAGTGTCCTGTACAAATAAGAGTGCTTCACTATTCACTTTTGAAAATGTAACAGTTATACAGGCAATTGTTTGTTAAAGGCACTGTCTCTTCTCATTTATTTTATTTTTGCAAAGTTGAGTCTACTTTGTATACCAGCCTGCATCGTTTCTTCCGAATCTCAGGAATCTGATATCAAGAAGTGACATATAATGTGTATAAGGAATGTTATGTAACATGCTTTCCTATTTCTACCCAGACCACCACCCTTCACCTTGCTTATGT